GAAGTGGCGCCATGTGTCACCGAAGTAGTCTTTCCAACCTTTCCGTGACGAAAACCATTGACCTGCGCAGACGAGTTGGCGCCAAACGACCCGCACAGAGCCCTGGATTTACATCGTCCGCTCGTCCTGGACCCTTCTCAGATTTTGGGCGAACCGGGGGGAAGTGACTCAAGAAGAAGACAGGTCCGGTTTTTTCTTCCAACGCTGGTAGGTTGGCGGCCATCGCTAGTAGGTTGGAGGCAGAGCGGCCTTTAAAAACATGTATTCTCCTGAACTTTGAGGCGCTGGTGGCACGGGGTCGGATTCTGCTCAAGCAGACCACGCAGGAAGTGGTTTGTCCCTCAGAGTGAAGTTGATTGCCTGAAGGACTACAACTCTTCACCTCAACCACTAGTATATATAGCCTATAGCTTCTTGTTCCTGCTAGCGATGGCCTCCAACCTAGTAGCTTCTTGTTCCTACTAGCGATGGCCTCCAACCTAGTAGCTTCTTGTTCCTACTAGCGATGGCCTCCAACCTAGTAGCTTCTTGTTACTAGTAGCGATGCACCTAGTAGCTTCTAGCAAGTTCCGAAGGGAAATTCTGCAACTCATTTCGCCCCATTGACATCGGTGGATCTTTGCCGTTGGCATCGGGCTGGGCGGGTTGAGACACGCTCGATCTGGCGGTGTGACGGTGTGATCTGGCGGAAATCCACCTGTTTTCAAGAAGGCAACGGAACTCCCACAAGGAGATTTTGAAACGGAATCTCTATATAATCCCTGGGAGTCAAAGTCTAAGACTATACAAAGAATGGTCTTTAGGTGACCCGAAAAGAATTTCCTCTACTTCAGTCGGTCAAAATATAGTCTTTGGACTTCGGGTATAGATGTAATTAGAATCAATTTGAACTGTTTGCTGTACCAAACCCCGCAACTCTTGGAGTTTTGTTTCACCCACTTGCACTCCCACCACCTTCATCCAGTCCCTCATCCATTTGGGCAGATTCACCTGCAGGGTCCCCACACCTAGGCCGAGATGACTTGCGCCCTCCAGCGCTGCGAGAGGTGCTCCCCTTGCGGCTCTTTGTGCTGTTGGGGAGAGATGTGGATCCAAAAAGACCTTTGCTTCGGACTCTGTAGGACTCTTGATTTCATTCAAAAAAACATCGACATGGACTGTTTATGATTGTTCACCACCTCTTCAGGGGGGTGGGGGGGAATTGAAATGTCAAAACCTTTGTTTGTTTCATCGAGGATTCCCCGAAGTCAAGATGAGTTTCTGTTCACTCGGGTTCACTTTGACGTAAGAAGATATAGAGGAACGAACGGTACCTGGCTATGATCAAAAAAGGCTTGCGCAAAGTGCTAGCTTTCCACATGGACCCTTTGTTCAAGGAGCTCCATGTATGTATGATGTATTCCATTTACTATCATTTACTTTTATAATCATAGTTCTTCAAATTTCTTTACTTGATTTCTATTTGCTGTCGTGTATGTGTATGTGTATATATATATATATTAATATACACATGATGTATAATAGCTATATCAATATTTGATACATTCTGTAACCAGGAGGAAGACAGAAATCCTCCACCAACTTGCATGTGTACAAACCGGTCTTCTGCTTTGTATTCGTTATATCTCGACGCGAACTGAACTCCCTCATGGCCATTCCGACAAAATCATTGCCCCCCCCTTCCCCCTGCGATGGGTGTTGGTTTGAAGGGTTCCAAAACTTCTGATTGTCGTGGGCTGGCTGGCTGCCAGCTGTGTTAGTTACTGGCACTAGTTGGCTGCATATTTCGGTGGAAGCTTGAGGTGGTGTCGTGTCATCTTCCGCCCGTTGGCGTGCTGGATGAGGCTGACATTATAGCATCAAACACTCTTCAGAATATCACACCCATGTGTTCCAACTGAATGCTTTTAGACTCTTCTTGCTTGTATATGTCCTACTTGCTGAGATCGACAGGCTGAGTTGGCAAGTAGCTTTGGGCGGAGCAGCTACACCAACAAATTCGTCACGGGTCCATTCGTCAGGCATCATGCTTTGAAATGCAGGATGAGGTGAGATCGGTGACCAGGTTGATGAAGTTGACGATGTCATCCAAGTTCTGTTGAAGGTAGTAGGCATGACTTCAGATGCTCTTCGAGATGCAAATCTGCGCGTAGAGCTTCAGCATGCAAATCTGTGGGTTGTTCTGTTGGCAATCCCAGTTACTTTTGGCCTGTGTGCGCTTGGGAGAACATCTGATCATTTGAGCGGGGGAAATCGACTGGTTCTTTGCTACCTTACGAGCCTTCTTCGATTCATCGTGAGGCATTGCTTCTTGGCTTTGCTTTTTTCCGTCTCCCCATTGGAATTCTACCGCTGTTTCATGCTTGCCCGTGATGGCAGCATCACGGTCGCACCGCTGTGAGCTTTTCTGCTTGGTGGGAGGCTCGAGTTTCTACAAACGTTTGGTTCCTCCAGCTGCGCTGGGCAATACTTGCGAAGCGAGTTATCATGTGTTATCTAACTTCTCTGGTTCAAGCTATTCAATGTCGTAGCAGTCTCACACGTTTGGTTCCTCCATCGTCCCAGCTGCAACGAGCTGTGAAAAGGGGCCTCCCAGACCCATGTGTACCACCTGTTTGAGAGAGGGATCGGCATATTTACTAAAAAACAACTATGGCCGCCAATCTCCCCGACCACCCCAACCAGTCGCCCCCAAACATACTTAGTCTCCCCAAAAACAGGGTCGTGTCTTGGGAGCTGTCCAGCCCCGTCCGGTGTCTCCACGGACGTCACCACAGCTGGGACCGCCGCAGACGGTCCGACGTCAGGGCATTCGTCGGAGTTGCAGCAGAGGTTGACCGAAGCAACCTCCAAACAGCCGACCGTCGGATGTCAACCTCTTCTGATCAGGTGATGTCGTGACGGGGTGTTACAGTCCACCGTCCGGTGGTTCATTGCCTGCATCTTTGTGAACGCGAACTTTTGGGGGGTTCTTTCCCTTGTGGCAGATGCTTGCGAGGTGGTTTAGTGATGTTTGGTTCATGCTTCCATCCACTCAGCACATTCTTGCAGACAACATGTTCCTGGTCCAATCCGGAGTGCAGGGCTCCAGTTGCAACGGTACTGGTCACCCACCAGTGCATCCCTGGAAAGAAGGATGGAATGAACATCATTTTGATGAAATGTTTGAAAGGTATGAGTTTGTTCATTTTATTTTGGACGTTCATGTTCGATGTGAACAATGGAATTACACACGATCCCTGAATATCCCTGATATTTCTTCAGCTTCACCTACGTCCATCTGCGCACACCGAGACATGTGGCACCGTAGATGTATGATCTTGGAACTGGTGAATAAACCGTTTTCTTGTTCCATCATTTTTTTGATGAATGCTGAAGACAAAGTATTTCTATGTATTTCTGTAAACAGGTTTTGTTGTAAAGGATGCAAGTATATTATATTAGCTTTGTGAAGTATTTTCAGTCTTTTCAAACAGATGAATGCCCGGAAGCCCACACCCCAAGTAAGGCCTTATGATCTTTCTGCTTCTTGGGTTCCCAGCGAAGCGGTCCTCTTTTCGCAACCCGCAACCCGCAAGCGCTCTGCGGCCTCCCCCGAAGCCGCAGTGCTGACCGATCGATGGACACCGCAGGTTCTTTGGTGGTTTGTCCATGGACTCCAAGGCTCTGTTGGTCGGTCGGTGTTGGTCGGGACCGTCTCTGAAGTTGGATGAAGTCGGTTCTTCAAGAACGCAAAGACAGGGTCATAGGTCATATGGGGTCATGGTGTACAGAGTCACACGTGTTTGAAAGGTGCATTTGTGTTTTCCTTAGGAAGCTGCGGAGAGGGATAATTGGTACGAAGGTCCGGGCATTCTCGGCTTGGCTGAGAGTTTTAACATTCAGAAGCACGTCAGGGAACTAACATCAAGCAGCTTTGCAGTCGACCAGGCAGTTTGATCTCAAGAAAGACTCTCCAGATTTCTTTCTTGGTGGCAGCATAGCCCATAGGCAGACTCGATCCCCACAGAAAGAGGGACATCATGGACATGGGTCAAATACTGAAAGCTTTTCGGTAGCCGGTAGCCATAACATTGTGTAGCGTGTCGCCAACATTGCATGAACAGCGTGTCGGCCATTGGCACCCAGTGGATCTTGGGGGTGTCCCCAAGTTCATCGAAGCCTTGGAATGACAGCCTCAATTGATTTCCAACTTGGAGCCTGTTGACTCTTTCAGAGAGCATGAACCACGTGACATTGGCAAGTTGTGTTGAAGAGCGTCCCAGCGAACACGATGTGTTTGGGACTTGGCCCGGATGTCAAGACTGCTTTGCATGTTTAGCATGCTTGATTGATAAGTAAACGTCCAGTGACTGGCATTCGCAACGTATCTAAGAACACCAAGACCGCTTCCCTCGCGGTCCCTGCCGATCAGTTTGACCGCGAACACCATGGTGCCATGGAGACGGGGCTTCGGCGGCTGCAGAGGGAGCTCAAGCAAATCCAGGAGGACGGAAGACATCAAGATGGTGAAGGATGGAAGACATCATCACCATCAACTACCATGGATTTTACTGTATAGCAGGTTCATGATGGTTCATGCAGGTTTCTATGGGTCCGGGTTTCTGAATTCAGGCATATTAGTGCTTGCAGCCATTGGCCAGAAGTTTGGCCTGGCCCTTGTAGAGGGCCGTTCTCACTGAAAAAAACCGAACGGTGGTGAGCTGCGGTTGTTCTCCCCAGAATCGCCCCTAAGGCAATCCCAGCTCAGTGGAATTTCCGGTGATGCAGAAAGGGATCCAAAAAAGCAAACAAACATAACAAGATACAATAACATAATAACATTCGGATCACCGCGGAACGATCCATACCCGAATTTTTTGACCCATAGCCATATAAGTCTTACCGATACAAACCAGGGGTTTCTGCGGTCGCAGATACGTATCAACGTCCCCACCCTCTTCTTTTCCAGCGAATCGCCCTTCAGGATTCGGCCTCCATCTTTGTGACCCCGCGTGGTGATGACTTGTCACACCTGGACGCGCTGGTGCTGGGACCCCCCTGACACGCCCTATGACGCGGCGCTGCTGCATTTTCAGCTGAAGATCCTGCCGAGCTACCCGATGAATCCGCCCGAGGTGGGGAGATTCAGCTGGGAGAAACCCTGTGACATGGGCTTGCAGCAAAGCCACGAAGCAGACCATCTCAGGTGAACATGATCTTGGAGGCAGAACGAGTCCTTTCATGCTTCTGAAAAGAAACAACGTAGGGCAGCATGTGAAGATTAAACAATTGAACTGTTGAGGGATGTTAAAGGTTTTGTGCTTGGTTTGGACCAGGCCCTGTGTTGTTTGGTACGCAATATGGCACCAGGGTTCGCATCTGCACTTCTTGGTTCACGCTTGGGCTTCACACTGCGGCTGTGTCACATCTTAATTGACGCTGAATGAAATGTCATATCTTGTTTGATGGCTGACCCTGGTTCGAGAGTGAAAGGAACCTCATGGGAAAGCTGTAAACCTTATGTTTACGGACACCTCCTTTGGCGGGGGCCTCCAAATGAATATCTAGACTCTTAAATCATATGAATGAACGAATGAATGCATATGGAATGAAACGCATTTGGATAGTTCCAAAAAGACCCAAGTGACCCAGCTGGTGCGCTGTCAGGTTCGTTTTCTCACCACGGACTCGGGCACCTTGCGGCTCCATCCACAGCTCTATGCCGATGGGAAGGTCGGCAGAACACCGGGGGTGCTGAAGGAACGAGGGCGACGGATGACATGGAAAGAAGTGCCCAGCTGAGCTGTTTTTGCTGTTTTCGACATTTCAAGCCAGTGAACGTTCATATTCCTCAAATGCAGGCAGAATCAGAAAGCTGCGAATGCTGGAAGGACAAGCCTGCAATCAATCAATCAATCAATCAATCATTCAATAATTCCACATGGCTTTGTCTCAACAGGAAACTCGCAACCAATCGATGTTGAAAGATGTGTTGCTACCGCTAGATACCAACTGGCATGGAACTAACCTATTTCTTGTGAAGGAAGGAGGGCATGTGCAACCTAAGCCTCGCTCACAACCTTCACTGATGAGCTGAAGTCATATTGAAGATTTTGTACACTTCTGTCCTGACCTGTCCCTTCCAATCTGTTCACTCCTGATAAAAATGCTCCCTAGTGCGCGCAATGATGTTGATATAGCACATAGTTTTAGTATGTTCTAGTATATTTTAGTATATGATGTACATGTATTTGTGTGTGCATTTGTTGATTGATACATGTATTTGTGTGTGCATTTGTTGATTGATATATGGACATATCTCCACCCTGGGAGACTAGGCCCTAGGCTCAATCATCCCAGTGTCCCGCATCTCCTTCTTCCCCCCAAACCTCGCACGAGGTGTGCTTAAGCATTTTGGGCACCTGGCACGGGCCACGTTGGAGTGCGAGTAGCTCAATCCGTGCTGTGCTACTCTCAATCCAGTCCTTGCTGTGTGAGGAGCTTCGCGTAAGAACGACGAACGCGACGCGCGACATGAGACGACGTGACACGACGTGACACGCTGGATCATTGAAACGGGCAAAAAGAAAAATGGTCAGAAAGAAATCCTGACCGATGTTAGACATGTGTTCTGCGAAGTCGGAATTTCAGAGGTTTGGAGGGGAGCAGGTCGGACGAGTCTCAGACTCGATCCAGACATGGATCTGAGAGACCAGGTGTGTCCCCGTAGTCAGTCAAAGAGTATCACTGGTTTTAGACAGAGCTTCGCAACCTAACCATCACTATCCACTGTAGTCACTGTAGTCATGGGATATAATTACGATGATATGCGTGAATCTACTACGTGACAAAACCCTATCAGATAGAAGTCCTCCGCCGCTGCAAAAAGCGGGGCGGAGGACGGACGGAGAGTAATGGATGAACATCTGGGAAGATGGAAGATGGATGGGCCTTTGGGTGGATGGATGGATGGGAGATGGACGTCCTGCTAGACGTCAACGTCGCAGGATCCCTTGCGCTGCGAGCCTGGCATGGAGAGCGCCACGGATGACAAGGTCGGAGCGAAGCGGAGAAGTGCGGGACATCTGGAGACTTAGGGAGACCACAGACACAAGCAAAGCTCCAGCAAGAAGATCCAGCGAAGCCATGTCACCCATGTGTTTGTATGTGTTTGTGTGTTTTGATCTCGAAAAAGAAGTCTAACGAAGAAAACCAGATGTTTTTGTGTCTCTTCCATCTCGAGTCGGTTGGATACCTATTGGATACTATCCTTCAGGTGGATGTGTGCGCGCAGCGTCCGCGTGGTGGGAGGTCGGAATATGTGGGTGTCTACTGGAGTAGGGAGACCATAGACCATCCCAGGCAATGATCCCCTTGAAGAAGGAACATAGACCAGTCTACCCATTAGTGAGAGGGGTCTCCCCATTCAAACCCAAAACCATGACAAAGAGGTTGTCCATATCGATTCAACATCATATAATCAGCATACTCAGGTTGTTTATTGATTCACCATGGCTTGATTTGCCCTTCCGTTCAGCTCGTTTTGCTTCATCCAATCCGTCAAAAAGATGGTCCACAGCGGATCGAGGTGACCAGTTGTTATGCACATCCCAGGACTAGGTGGTGCAGGATTTTGGGCGAAGAGACTCCTCCAGTACATTGCTTGAAAACGAACAATTATATACTCTTCCTGTGCTGGATGAACGCAGCAGGCGCACCTGTTTTCAGGCGACATCCATTTTTTCACCGAAGTCGGTGGATCAGCTGCACCACTTCAGCAGTGGGGATTGGGGACACCTCAACTTCAGGTCCGAAGTTCGGTATTTAGTTTATGAACGATGGGAAACGATGGGACACGGCTCGCGGGCCAGCGAGCTTTCGATCCAACACTGTTGAGCGAAATGCTCGCTTTGTCCCTGACATTGGGTTCCCTCAGTGCCTCAGCGAGAGATTTGCATCGAGACTCCTTAGCCAACGAGATGAAGATGCCATGCCTTTTATTCATCCATTCCATGATCTTTGAGGAACGTTCTGACTTGTCGTTCCACAAAACCGTGTTCTGGAGTCTTCTAAAGGTGGAGCTGGCCAACGTCTTTGTGGTCCACGAGTCAGTGAGGGTAGGAGTTCAAACCTCAGAGGGCTGATATTTTTGGGGGGCCGTTTCCGGGTCGTGTGAACAAGATTGAGAACAAGCTTGTATAGGCTGGCAAAGGCGGGATAGTTTAGTCTCAAAATAGAAAGATGCGACTGTTGGTTTGGGAGGTTCGTCGTGCAATTTGAGACAATCGCTTCTGCCTGGCACCAACCACCCCATTATGTCTTTGAGGTGAAAGGAGATCGGGAAGGCGATCACAAACTGAACACACATCCTAGAGAAACTATAGGGGATCTGGTGTCGGGCATCGCTGAGCAAACTTATTGGTGCTGGAAAACATCGAGGAAAAGCACTAGGCCCCGCCTGGTTCAGGTCGCACCTGAATAACCTAATCCAGCATTGGTATGGAACATATTTGCTTTTGCAGATATTGTTTGCCAGCAAAGGAAGGTGTATATATATAATTAGACCATATGAGTCCAAGTGGCCTTGCGGGACATCAACATACATATATCACATACGTATAATATATATATATATATACACACGATACGTAGTATCTGGCTTGTTCAGAGGCCGTTTGGGGGCAGGACCAATCTTTGTTTGTTTTCATCTCAGCTTGGACACCAAAGAGCACTACCATGCAACACCCAAAAAGCTAGTAGCTAGTAGCAAGGACGCTATTACGCTATTAGGGTGGAGGCCATCGCTACTAGTAACAAGAACACGGCTAGTAGATCATCCGAGTGTTTTTTCCTGCCCAGATCCTGTCCATGCTCGAGAATGGCCCCAGCTGGGATGCGCAGGACCCTTTTATGCGGCGTTTTTGGAGTGTCATTGTAATAACAGCATAGACGGGACATCATTTCAAGTCTTCCCCATGTGACATGGCATTCCAATACAATCAAGTTTGGGGTGCCTCACTAGTTTTGATTCTGTCGACATTCATTGGATTAGAGTGGGATCAGAGTGGGATCTCTTAAGCAGGCTTGGTCACCTGTCCTTCTTCGGCCAAATCGATCGGCGGTTTTGTTTCACTTCCAGGATGCGGAGGATCATGTGCTCACCCTGGCAGCCAGAGTCTGGGACCAAGTTGCAATGTCAGGAGTTGCAGACGTTCATCGAGGACAAGAGAAAACTGGAGAAACCCGGCTCACAATCACCGTAGAAACACCATCCAAACGAGTCCTCGATTTCAGCAGAGTCCTCCGATTTCAGTTGGTCCCATGTCAGACCCAGAGTTCCTTCCATGTTCTTGCCTTTTCTGATTTAGGCCCAGTGGATCTTTGAAGCACGTAGAAGCTTAAGAGAAAGGCCCCTTTTGAATCCTCCATCCTTTCTTCTCCAACCTTCATATCCTTTGTTCGCTTCGAGCTCGAAGCTACTTTTAAGTGGCGGCCATCGCTACTATCACGTCACAAGGTTCGCTACTATCACGTCTTCATATCCTTCGGTCCTCCGCTCCTCGGTCCTTAGTCGCTTTGGGCTCAAGAGACTGCAGCCGCGTCGGTCCGTCTCCGCGTCTCCGCTCCTTCCACCGATGTCCACTGCCCGGACCTCGGGATTCGCATGGGCGGGAATAAGCACGAGAGACCACAAGTTCCGTGTTTTTGAATTATGTCGGATTTTGTATTGCATATTTAATATTGGTATACTTGTATGGATGTATGTTGTATGTTGTATGTGTGTTTGTTTTTCTACACTCAGGAATCCCAACATCGCTGGGAACAGCTTCTGAGGCCGAAGGTCTCGCTCAAGCACTGACTGCCAAGCTGGTGGACGTGCAAGAACGCGGGGTGGAGCTGGCCTTAGCTGTTTGGAGACGCGCACAGATGGCATGCTGGTGAGTCTACTCAATTGGACAGGAGGCGCAGTGGCTAAAAGGCTAAAGCATGGGCAAGTGGTTGCCATTTTGATTTCCTTTAGTGCGGGCTTCTCGAGCTCACGATCCAGAGCCAAGGATCTCACTTTCGATCCAGTCAAAGCCGCGACAGGCGCGGCACGTAAGTGATGTCAAGACCGGTGACCGGGCTTTATCGTTGAACAAGTTGCTCGGCATCACTGGAAATCATTCATCCGTGGAAATCCGAGTCAGGATGGCCCAATGAGACCGGGATTGGTGAATTGTTCAATCATATTGCAGCATTAAACACAATCCCCCCAAAAGGATGTCCGAACTCATTGACTTGGGGAAACATGTTTGACTGTCTGACCGCACCTGTCTCAAGCAGCGAGCCGCATCGGCATGGATGACCATCCGCGAGAAATCCGGCTTCGGAAGCAGAGCCAGAGATAACTCCAATCCAAGACCATCCATGTGTTGCCTATACATGCCTATACAATACATTAACCATTATGGAGTATATATATATATATACAGTAGGTATATAAATAATATAGCTATTCCATGCTATTCTATAATATGCCATATGCCTTATTACATGGATTGTTTGGGAATGGACCGGCATCTGCTGATCTTCAAGTCCCCAAACACAGTTCCGTTAAGGAAGCGCATCCGAACGGAGTCTTACCACGCTGCATCGCCGACCGCGCAAACCGTGGTGCATGTTTGACGGGATTTGAGCAACAAAGCAAGCAGAAGTGCTGATTTAGCAGGTGAAGCGAATGAGATTACACCAATTTGGGCAAAGAAAGAAGCCACTAAGACCTCGTGTGAGATTCCACTGATTCCACTGACTGACTTGGGTGGATTTGAGTGACAAAGGAGAGTCCCTTTGTCAAACAGCCGAGATGCACACATTGCTCTTCGTGACAGAACCACCCCTTTGACCCTGGTGAGGTTTAAACGGATGCCGTCCTCTCGGGGTAGATGGGTGTGTGTGGGTGTGGCAGAGCTACGTCGTACAGCCGACGTCCAGGCGATCGTTCTTGTCATTTCTATAGTTCAATAGAGAAGGCGTAGCAGACATCGAAGGCATAAGTGCAAGTCTGAGTCATAGCAGTATTTATGCCATGAACACTGGGTGAACACTGGTGTTTTCTCCAGGATTCTTCTAATCCAACCTACGACATTCTCCGAACTGACTGGCAGATCCTGGTACTGTAGATCTCTGACTTGAAGGATTGCTTCTGTTTTCGTCCATCGACCTTGGTCGAGTTGAGAAGGCTCTTTTCGGAGCACCTCATCGCGGCCAGGAGTCAATCCTGTGGATGTGTGACGAATAAACATATGGATGGATGTGTGTTTTAGATGCGGGAGACCTTTTGGCCCTGGCTCGGTAGACTGGTCTATTTTCCTTCTTCGAGGTATTTGGGAGGTCTTCCTATTTGGACCTATAATACACACCCAGTTCTGTTTACAATAATAGTCACTTCCCATTTCTGCCGACTCAAGTTTTTGCTGCCCGGCTATCCAAACGGGATGGACCGGTGGACCGCATTTTCTCGCAATGCATATTGCTCCAAAAAACATCAAAACACCAAAAATTGGAACAACCGCATGGGAAAAACTCAACTTTCCAAAGTTTTAGGAGTTTAGGAGTTTGGCTCAGAGTTGCCCTTTTTGTTGAACGAACATGACCGAACGTGAATGTGGAGTTACCTTTTGTTTGTGAGGAAAATCCATCTTCCGGGCAAAGCTAACTCTTTGTGGGCAGACTCATCATCCCGGACACAGATGACTGGGGGTCGGTGGAACAAAGGCGGACGGCCAGAGTCGATCAGAATCTCAAGTTGATGCATGACAAATGCGTGAAGCATCGAGCCCAGCCCTACATGCAAGTTAGCAAAGATCCGGAAGTTGGATCTGGCCAATTAGGAAACAGGATGACACTGGCCAACAGGAGAGTTGATGAGAGATGTACTGTAAGCTCTACAACGAACTCTGTGGTGGGGTTCAGCACATTACCAGTGACCTTTTCCGCTGGTCTCATCCGACACGGAACAAGGCTAGAAGTGAAAAATGACTCTGTGGTCCCTGGCTCATGCACAAGGAAGCATGTTTTCTCATGCAGGAGGTTAGTGTCAATGTCAACCATGTTCTCATCATGGTAATCCTGTGTATCTCAAGTGACTCAAGTGCGTTCATCCTTGGCCGTCGCGCAGACACTTGAGAATTCATCAACTTCTGAACAAAAAGAATCCAGGAGCACCAATTGTAGTGAAGCTCAAGGAATTGTCCTTGGGAATGTGTTCGACCTTGTACCAAAGCTTTCTTCATGGTGTTCACCTGTTCTTTTTCGTGTCTAACTGAGCAGCATCCAAGCCAAACCGCCAAGTTCGCCTCACACCTCCCGACATGATTTCTCAAAGGGTCGGTCAAATCCAACGGCACAAGAACTTCGGAGCTGCCTACTGTGACTGTCCCAACGGCCAAGAGAGGACATGCCACCTTTCACACATGCACCTCAGAGCTCAACACTCGCCAACTCGAAATCCTTCTGCGAATCCCTTCTCGCATTCATGAACAGCACCAATGGCACGCAAGCAGCCATTCACAGATTCACACAGATTCCATTAGGTTGATGGGCACCATCCTATGGAATAAATACTCCAATATACTCCAATGCTCTCGGAACCGCATCCAGTACCCCTTTTGAAGAAACGATCTTACGGAAAAACGCATGGACAAAAATACCCCCAGTACCCCCATGGATCATATTGATTTAGCCCCATGGATCACCTCTCCAGCTGTGATCGGAAAGAGTCGTCACCTTTCTTCTCCACGGTGTGGAACGTCCCCGGCGACCGCCGGAGTTTTCCGGCAGGACCTCGCCTGTTTACAGGAACTGTTCGCCTGTTACTTGAGAGACGGAAGTCTTAACTGATTACAAGTCATGAAAAGTCATGAGTATATAAATCTAGTTGAATATATAAATATATGAATATATATATATATATCAGCGATTATATCAGCCGCCCTCTGATGGAGAGCAAGATTGACAATCCATCAGCTCATGAGCCGGCAGGCAACGTGTCGCCTACAGCTTCAACAGCTTCAGAGGTGAGTTGCGTGGTGGATGCGTTGCGAACGTGGACGCAGTAAGCGAACGCAGAAAAGAACAGTTTGGAGGTGAGGTTTATATTAAACGGAAAGGCTGTGCCATGAGCGCCTGCTTGGAAGTACTCAGGGGACTGGAGAACTTGACAAGGAGAACTCGACTTGGTTTGCTGGGTCTTTCACATTAAACATCCCTAGGGAAGTCCTTTTTGGAAGGGTTTGAAGACACAGATGGGTTTCTTGAGTCGGGCAACTTGCTTCGGCTTTGCCACTCTGGTGAAGGCGAAGAAGATTTGGGAACCTCCATCCAGGTCTTTGCTGAAATTGTCACAGATCTTGATCACTATTTGATAGTCTTGGACAACCAACCAACCAACCAACCAAGGATGTTAAGGTGAATTGCAGGCAGCCAGAATCGATCGACGAGGGTGGTAGACTTGCAGGAGGCCAGTAAATCTTTGAGCTTGGCCCACACTGACACGGCACATAATATAGGCAGTCTTTCAGATGATGATGATGCCTGTAACAGGGTGGTATTTTGTGGTGTTGGACTGTTGGAGACACACGATGTATGTCAATGTACGTACATGGCGCATGGTCCAGACAGTCAGTACTATTCAATATGCCTCACGATGGCCACGTGGCAAACCATCACTTGAGGCTTTATCAACAACAGAGGTCCGCGACACAAAACCTCAAACAGCAGCACTTCTTTTTTTTGCGCTCTAGGCTCAGATCTCTTTTGACAGTGATCTTTCTTTGTGACATGGTCCAAGTCACATCATGCCACCATTTTCGATGTTTGAGAGGCTGATACCGGGAATGTATCAGAAGTCGGACCTGTTTAAACAACTTCTGAAGAGAAACGACTTGACCAACTTTGGGATTGATCCATTTGGCATAAAAACGCGGACACCGACTCTGGTTACTGGTTGCCACAAACGTTGAAACTGGACACCCAGCGAGGATGCAAATGTGGACGAATGCGTCAGCAGCATTTCCGATGAGGAAACACCAAGCCCGGGCCTCAAGCATCCACAATAGCGAGGACGGCCTAGAAACAGAGAGAAATGCCATGGAATGACACAGGGTCGCACCCTGTAGTGCAGGCAAATTTCCA